GCTGTATGCTTGTTACAATACATGGTGCCTTGTAAGTATTATTGGCATGCTTTTTCTGCATAAAATTATGGTGTTTTAAAATCAGCATCTTAGGGGTGCCAGGGTGGCCCAGTTGGTTAAGCATACTCTTGACTTCAGCTCAGGTCATGATCTCAACATCATGAGACTGAGCCCCCTATCAGATTCTGTCTATCTCCCTCTGCCCCTTTTTCACCCTCATGCACACGTTCTCTCTCTCTCTAAAATAAAATGAGGGGGAAAATAAAAGAAATAATAAAATCAGTAGCATATTAGATTCAATGAAATTTGGTGATCAGTTTATAAAATTTGTTTAGAGAGTTTAAAAAATATAATTGTGATGATATATGCTTAAAAATACTTTTTGTTAAAATGGTAAAATTAGTGGATTTAGGAGACCATGTTTTAGTCAAGACAGATGTTTGTATAGGTAAATTTTGGTGGAGTAAACAGCAGAATGTTACTAGTATTAGGGAGAGATGAACCAGAAACAGTTTGAGAAGCAAAAGATCCAGCTAAAGACTAAAAGTCTTGACTCAGAGTTGGTCCCATTACCAAAACTAAATACACACATGACTCCCAGTTACAAGACTCCTTGTCTTGTACACTTGATCCAAACATTGTATGGATCAAAACTCAATGCAAATGATGCACATAATGATCAGAAGTATAGCATCAAGTTTCCTGCATTTTTACCTTGAGCAGGACTTGGGTGGAAGTTTAAGAAAAACTTAGGTGTCGTTTTGGAGGAATTAGAATAAAGAACAAAAAGAGCAATTCTATGTGGAAAGGCTTGAGTGATATTTAAAAAGGCAGCATGCTCAAGAGTATATAGTACATCTCTGCTGTCCTTTTCCCTGCAAGTGTGGCTATGACACACGGAAATTAACCAACCCTGGGGCACCGGGGTGATTCATTCAGTTAAGCATCCAGCTCTTGATTTCGGCTCAGTTCATGATCTCACAGTTAGCATATCAGGCTCCGCACTGATGGTGTGGAGCCTTTTTGGAATTGGTCTGTTCTTCTCTCTCTGCCCCTCCCCTGTTCACACTCTCTCTCTCTCAAAAAATGTAAATAAAACCTTTAAAAAACAAAATTACCAAGTGCTTGTGAACCTACACGTTGGTATTATTTTTCAAATTCTTAAATACTTTTTGTCATCTGTCATATGTTCTTGAGAATATAGATTGACTTAGCAGATATATGTGTATGTGTAAACATATATGTTAAGTGTTTACATGTATTTACATAATGTATATACCAGAATATTATAGTTTTGCAAGCTGCTTAATATTCATGAACTTCAGTTTTATCACCAGGGATAATAGGAGTTATCTCATAGGTGGATTGTGGGGCTAGACCATAGATTTCAAGCATTTGATACAATGCCCCAATCTATAGTAGGCATTCAACAAATGGCATTGCTATTATAGTTAAACACAGATGCTTTAAAGTTACACCGATTTAGGCAGCAAGTTTGGCAGTTTCTTTACAATGTATATAATTTTATATAAAGTATATAAACACATTATACACATTTACCATAAGACCCAGCATTTCCATTCTTTGGTACTTACCTAAGAGAAATGAAGGTATAGTTGCACAAAATGACTATATGCTGATGTTTATAGCAGCTTTATTAATAATTGCTCCAAACTTGAAACAACCCAAATGTCCATCAACTGGTGAATGGATATATAGATTGTGGTACATCCGTACTCAGTGATATAAAGGAATGAACTGTTGGTATGTGTAATGCTCAAAAGCTCAAAAGCATTAAGTTAAGTGAAAGAAGCCGAATTCAAAAAGCTGCCTACTATATGATTCTGTTTATGTGACATTCTAGAAAAGGCAAAACTACAGGGCTAAAAATCGTAAGTGCTTGCCAGGGACTGGGTGTAAAAGGAAAGCATTGACTATATTGGTACACAAGGGAACATTTTAGAGTAATGGAAATATTCTGTTTCTTGAAGATAGATTATCTATAAAGTACATAGCCATATAGTGAAAGTATAAAATATCCTTGAAAATGATGAGCCCAAATTCATTGAAATGTTTCACTTGAGGCGATGGGGGGGGGGGCGGTTGGAAGGGAAGGAGGGAATGTAACTAGTAAGTGCAATATATGGGTTGGGGTAAAAGATTTGTATTTAAATAGGAAGCAAAATAGCAAAATATTTTTTAAATTTAAAACAAAGTTTGTAACAGTGTATAAACAATCCCATCAATATTGTAAATAGGTTTACTTATACATATATTTATACATATATAAATATATACGTATATTTATACATATATTTACACACATAGTTGTAAATATACATGTCTGCTTATATATTCACATATAATTTCTGGAAGTATATACAACAAACAGGTGACTACTAATCTCAGGAGGGGATTCATAGTACTGAGTGTTGGAGATGGGACAAAGATTTACTTTCATTGAACATTTTCTTGTACTTTTTGAATTTCATTAGTTTTTTTAATGCATATATTTTTATATGAATACACACATAAACGAATGCATGCAATTTTTATTAATTAAACTGTAGGAAATACGAGAAATATGATGCCTGAGGAACAGGAAAAATATCTTGTTCACTGATTTCCTTAATGGTTTTGACATAAAGTTTGTTATTGACCTGTAATGTGATGGAATTATAGGACATTAATAGTGAAACTAGGAAATAAAATAGAAGTAAACAGTACATTTAAATTAGTTTTCTTACATATAACATAAATCCAACTCAAGCTAGCCTAAGCCAAAAAAAGATTTATTTACCCAGGGAGTCCAAGAAATGGAATGGATCTGGAACTGTCTGGCATAGGGGATCCAGGAGTACCAGTGATGTCATCAGGATTCAGTTTTCTTCTGGGGCTGGTGGGATGGAATACTGTGTTTGAACAACCTGGATGATACATACCTGAGGTAGTGGGGAACGAAGTTCATTCTAGCCACCAGGACTGAACAAGATCACTGTGGCAAAGGGTAAGGGTATTTTTCTAAAAAGGAAATGCTAGCCAGATGAACATATATCTGATAAAATAGAAAAAGGCGGTTGTAAAGCCAGAAGGTTTAAAATAGCTTTGAACATAGTCACCAGGGCCTAGACATAAGATTAGACATTTGGAATTAATAAATTCAGTGGATTTGCTATGAAGCAACACCAAATCTTGATAGCCAACTAAACGTAAAAAGAGAAGTGAAAAAATAAATATTACAAGAAGCACGGGAATTTAAGTAAAATTTTCATGTTCCTATTTTTGCAGAAATTTCTTAGGCAGAAATCTTCATTTTGGCTTTTTCCTACTAGAACATTGTTGGTTTTGTTTTTTGGTGTCAGAGGGGTTTTTGTTTTGTTTTGGATTTGTTTTTTTTGTTGTTGTTTTGTTTTGTTTTGTTTCATTTTTTTCAGCAGAAGTACCAGGTTAAAAAAAAAAATCAAAATAGTCGTCTAAGGTATTTGTCATTGTAACATATTTATTTAGCAAATTCTCTATTACCTGTCCAGTATTTGATATTCCTTAAATACATCCAACAGGATGTTTGACATTTTGTAAGTTGAATGTGATATGTCCTTTTTTGTGTGATTCTTTTTGACTAACCATTTAGTCATGATGGGTATCTGTGCCTTTCATGTTAGCATTTCAGTCACGTTTTATAATTTACTGAAAATTGGCAATGCTGTCAATTATTGGCATAAAGAACCAGCCACCTATTTTTAAATGCTTTTTAATAATTTTTGAGAATGTTTTATCTATAATTCTAGAATGTGACATGTTAAGGCAAGCACTCAAATATCTTAAATTTAAGAAGTAACTCTGTCAGATTTGCTAACCCAGATAGAGAACAAATCAATTAACTTAATTCCTAAATTATATACAGAGACCTGAACTGCTACATGTTTTTATTATTCTCTGTTATTTAAATAGAAAAGTGGCATTGTCCAGTGTTCACTTACATGACACTACTTTTCCTCTGGTCAGGATTTCACAGTTTGTCTTATGACTTCATTCTTATGGAAGAAAATAATCCCAGAGAAATTATATGAGTTCAACAAAATTAGTGAACTTCTGCCTCCAAACTTGAGTACTTTTTAATTATTGCCATTAGTGTGTGCAAGGTATATGATAACATCGTTGAAAGTGAAAGACAGTATTTTCATGCAAATTAAGCTGTGAATAAACAAAACTGAAATCTGAATACTAGCACCCTATTTTAAAAGTTCTGATGAAAACTCTTTTGGGCTATACCTGAAACCCAATGGGAAAGGTGGTTGGAAGTTGGCGATTCTTTTAAAATTACAAGTTTGAACTCTCGAAAAACTGATTACAGACCCTTTAAAATTTAAATTCTATAGGCAGAGCGGAACAATAACATCCCTTGAATAAAATACCTCTGACACTCAAGATTGTTGCCATTCTCCCTTTAGAGATTTTTTTTTCCTTGCCAAAAAGGAATTGCAAAGGTTAAGTCATATCTGTAAGAATCAGGTTGTAGTCTTGTGTATTTTTTTCACATTAAATATCAAAGATAGCTTAACATATTTAGCATTTTCTGGGTTTTACTATTAATAAAGTTAAAAGAAAATCCAGTGTGATCAGGCAGTGGAGCCACATTAAGTTTGTATGTGAAACACCCATTGTGCTTATCTTATTCTTGATATTGCTCTGAACCCATGTTCCACATTCTGAGTTCTGTGTATAAAGTTAAACATTGCAGAAGGGCATATATCTGATGATACAGATGAATAAGGTTGAAGTTTAGTAATGAGCAAAGTTGATAAATTTAATATGTTGTTGTCTTCAATATGTCTTTTATTAATATAATTTGATTATTTTGTGGGAAATTATGAAACACTGCTAAAAATACTGATCGATTATAAAACTACCAGAAATTTAAGGTTCCTGTTTATACTATAATATATATTTTAACATACCAAAACCAATATTAAATTTCTTAAAATATTAATTACTTACAGGCAAAGTTGTTAGCTATGCAAGAAGCCAGAGAAACTGCAATTCAACAGTACAAAAGACTAGAGGAAGAAATACAAACACTTCGTGTTTACTACAGGTAAAATTCTTTTTAACCTGGGCATAAAGAAATGTTGGTTTGGGAAATGTTTCTACCTAGTTTTACAGTGAGTGAAGAAATACCTCAAGGAAATTAAACATTATTCAGTTAAAATATTTTTGTAATTTTAAAATGATTCAGGCACAAAATATTGTTTATTTTACCTTTTTTTTCTTTCCTACATTTGGTAAAGTTTAAGCTTAGATTCCCATCAGATTTATAAAATTTACATAACTTATAACCAGTTGTCTGAATGGAGTCTAGTTAACTATTGAACTATTTGCTCATCTAAATGCCACCTCTAAAATGATACATATTTCTAAAATAGTACATGAATAGCAGTAATAGCCTTTCACCAATTATAATATGAGAAGTTTCTAAAGGAATGCCACTGAAGGATTTTTAACACTTATTTAATTTATGCTCCAAGAGTAGTTGTGAAATTAACTCAGTAGGTCACACTGGCATTTTTTAATGAAAAGAAATAGAATAGAAAATGTCAGAGTGCATTTCCTGTAGTTAAAGTAAATATTGTTTTGTGATACTTTGGTTTCAGTTTTGTGTTATGCGAGAGAGAAATAAGATTGTTGGGTTATCTGTAAAATATCTGTATATTTTTTCACAAAGGATCATTGTAAAAACAAAAAAAGTTTTGAAAAATGATGTACAATGTTCTATATGTTCTCTGATACTTGATAAGATTAAAAAGAATCTGAAGTCTAAAACGTAAGAATTCACTAACTTGGGCTGTGGGTATTTGAAAGATTTTCTTTTAGTTTTTTGCATCCTCTCAGAACAATGTGGTTAAGTACATAAAATGCAATTAAATCAAAACCAGTTTTACTGAAATAGTTATGCAAGTATGTCATATTACTATATTCACACATCGTTATTAATACATTAAATAACTAGGTCTAACACCAAGTCTATTAACAACCATAATTTCAAAGTAGTGATGACTGTAAATGGTATTTTGGGGATAACTGCAAACACTGAAATGTGATGTGAAAATATCAGTGGCTTCTATGGATGCAAATTCTCTATATAAAGAGGTAACGAAGTAAAATTAGGTCATTAGCATGGGCTCTAACCAAATATGACTGATATTTTCATAACAAGTAGAAATTTGGACATAGAGATGCACACATACAGGAAGGCTGTACAGAAACACCAAGAGAAGACAGCCTTTTGCCTGGCATCCACAAGTCAAGTAATCCCAAAGATTGGCAGCAGATACCAAAATCTAGAGGAGGCCTGGGAGGATTCTCACCTATTCTGTCAAAGAGAGGATAGTCCAACTGACATGTTGATTTTGGACCTGTAGCTTCCAGAACTCTGACACAATAAATTTCTGTTTTAAGTCTCCCAGTTTGTGCTACAATGTTACAGCAGCCTTAGGAATTAATGCAGTTATCAAATATTAAGTATGTTTGGAGCGCCTGGTGGTGAAGTATCTGACTCTTGATTTCGGCTCAGGTCATGATCTCAATAGTTTGTGAGTTCGAGCCCCGCATCGGGCTCCATGCTGACAGTGCAGAGCCTGCTTGGGATTCTATCTCCCTCTCTATCTACCTCTGTCTCCCTCTCTCAAAATAAATAAATAAACTTAAAAAAATATTAAGTAAATTGATTGATGACTGGGAAGTCATTTGCCTGCAGTTAGAAGCAGTGTCTATGTGTGGTCATGTAGATAAGCAGAAACCTGATAATGAATAAAGATATCTCAGCAATCCACCCTTTTTTTTTTTTAAACTATAGAGTGGATATGACAATCTTTCCTCCATACTTTATACCAATGGATTCTCCACTGTAGCTGTGCATTAAAATCACCTGAAGAGCTTCTAAAAGCCCTAATCCCCATCTCCTCCCAGGCCAATTACATTGGAGTCTCGGTGTAGGACTAGGCTATCAGTGTGTTTTAAGGTCCCTAGAAATTCCCACGTGTATCCCAGTTTGAGGGATGCTGCTTTGCATGCACATTTCAGATAGCTGCGTTACAGCAGGGTCTCTTCTTGGTGGAATAATAGAGGCATATATTAAACCCTCTACTATGACTTACAAGTATCGTATGATTTGTGCTCAGACCTTGGATACCTCAGTGTGGTATGAAGTAGCTTCACTCTATTGATAAGGGAGAGTTTTTATGGAACCTTTTCCTGCCATCCTTGTGAGGTAGGACAACAGGTGTTTATTGATGAAGTGACAGTGTCCAAAAATTCTGAGAGGCATATGATATTCTTACATGAACTGACATTTCTTCTTCAAAAATGAACCTGATGCCAGTTCTTAATGTTCCTCCTTCTTTCTATTGAATTGCAGAAGATTACTGAGAGATTTTTGAAAATTGTAAAGCTAAAGTATTTGTTTTTCAAAGACTTTTTAATCTACATGATTGTAACAGAGTTGAACAACTTTTCGAGTTAACAGTTGTTGGCTTAAAGATATTCTTCACATATACCCCTCTTACTGCTACTTAAAAAAAAAAAAAAATACTGGTAGTATGGTGAAGCTCCTGGGATTTGCACTTAGAGAGTCCTGCCTTTATGACTTATATAAATGAACTTCCCCAAGACCATTTCCTTTTTTGTGAAATTAGAATTCTAGTACCTACCTCATACACTTGTTTTAAGTATGTATAGCTCTTAGCTTTTTGTTTGAAATTATGTTGTCATTAGTAACCTCCACAGAAGTGGTTTTAATAAAGCATTAGATGTAGAAGTCAGTTAGCTGTGAATTGAAGAGTGATTAGAGGTAATGTAGTAATTTGGACAATAGAATGGTCCTTGAAGAAGCCTGAATAAGAAAGATGTTAATGATAGTTGAGAAGAAAGGAAGATAGGTTAAGGACTTATGTTTTTTGTTTTTGAAAGATGACAGATACTTGAGCCTGTTTATGACTAATTGGAAGGAGCCAAGAGAGAGATTGTCAGGGAACAGGATTCCTAAAGAAATAGGAAGAGATGGAAATTAGATTCTGCAAAAGAGTTTACCTTGAACAGGAAGATGGTCACAGACAGGAGTGAAGGAGATAAGAATAGCTGTGGAATACAAATGAAATTCAGTTTGCAATTAATAGGCCTCATTTTTTTCTGCAAAGTAAGGGTCACCGTGAGCTTCTAAAGTGACGGAGGACAGGAAGTTTTGGAAGGAATAACAGAGCAGCTACTGAAGAGAATGGGAAAGAGAACTGAATAAGGGCAAAAAGAACAAGACAAGCAATCCTGAAGAGTCAGCTGGGATAGATGCTATAGATTTGTATGAGTTCTGGTTTGTACAGTTGTGTAACTTCACACATTCAGTGGTTCTTGTAAACACAAGAAGCAAAGAAGGCAAAGAATTGGAATGATTCAGGATTACAAATATGCAGGACTAACATGATGAAGAGGAGAGTGGTTGAAAGTAAACTAGCAAAAAGGTGTTGAAATGATGAATGATAGTCTGAGCTAAATAGGGCAGGAATAAAATTGAGAGTATACCAAGAGAAAAAGGAGAAATCCAGAAACCATAAATCTTGAGATCAAAAAGCAAAAGTAGTGGGATTAAGAGAATTCAGGAGCTAAAAGGATCAGAGATTGTAGTCAGAAAGTGGAACCTTGCTCTTTAAGCTCTCAGAGATTGCACTCATTCTCAGCATTGACAATATTTAAAAGTATTGCCTTAGTAGTAGATAGTTGAAACTGAGAAGAGGTAGGGGTCACTAGATATAAAGAAGTCAAGGATTTATGAAACTAACGTACTTGAATACCCATTTGGATATTGTCTCTGAAAATATTGGCATATGTTGAGGTACTCACTGTAAGTGCCATAATGGAAAACGACCTAAAAATAAGTAGATAAAAGCTACATGTTGAAATAAACAGCTGTATGTATCAAAGGATGAACCATGCAGTGTGTGATGCACAGGAGAATGCGTGGTGTCTATGAGGAAAGTTGCACCCTTTAGGAAGATCCATATTTCTATCAAAACAAAAAGGTATAGAGAACTTTTGTGCATTGTTGATGGGGATATAAAATGATACATCTGCTGTGGAAAACAGTTTGGCAGGTCCTCAAAAAGTTAGACATGGAATTCCTACATGATCCAGCAATTCTACCCATAGGATATACCCTAAAAGAACTGAAAGCAAGGACTCAGATACACGCCACTGTTTGTACTGTATTGTTCAAATTAGTCAAAAAGTGAAAACAACTCAAGTGCCCATCTACAGATAAATGAATTAAAAAAATGTGTTGTATACATACAATGGAATATTATTCAGCCATAAAAAAGAAATGAAATTCTGATGCAAGCTGCAACATGAGTGAACCTTAAAAGCATTATGCTAAGGGGAATAAGCCAGAGAGAAAAGATAAATATGATATGATTCCACTTCTGTGAGGTATCTAGAATAGGCAAATTCATAGAGACAGAAAGTAGAATAGAGTTACCAGGGGCTGAGAGAAGGAAGGAATAGGGAGCTCCCAGGGGCTGGAAGAGGAGAGAGTGGGGAGTTATGATTTAATGGGTACAGAGTTTCTGTTTGGAATGGTGAAAAAGTTCTGGATATGGATGATGTTATCTTGCCACAGTTGTTTTTATTTTTTTTTATTTTTTTATTTTTTTTAAATTTTTTTTTCAACGTTTATTTATTTTTGGGACAGAGAGAGACACAGCATGAACGGGGGAGGGGCAGAGAGAGAGGGAGACACAGAATCGGAAACAGGGTCCAGGCTCTGAGCCATCAGCCCAGAGCCCGACGCGGGGCTCGAACCCACGGACCGCGAGATCGTGACCTGGCTGAAGTCGGACGCTTAACCGACTGCGCCACCCAGGCGCCCCACCACAGTTGTTTTTAAAATGTACAAAGAATGTTCTGTGAAGATATACAGATATTTATTTTAAATAGTATGGGGGTAAAATCCCTGGGATATAAAACTCTGGGAAGAGAGAGGCAATTACCAAAAAGAACAAAGCTGAAATTTCCTGGAAGCTCACATTCTGATTTAATCGATTCAAATGA